TTTCTGGTCTGTACATTTCAGGTGAAACGTTAAACAAATGACGGTGAAATTTTGCAAAGCGTGTGACACAAGAAAGCAATTCCCCTTTTATAAGAGTCCTCCGCGCTGCGAACGTTATCAGCGGCTCGGCCTCAATTTAAAGGGTTCTATTTTGAAATAGGTATTGAAAATCTGAGAATGAAGCGTTCGCGTCTTCTGGGCTGCGCGGGCATTCGGGATTCACTTGCAGTATCCTCTGTATGAGGCCGGTGAGGTGAGGGATGAGGCTGAGGTGTCTTATCTCACATGGGGTCTCCAGCAGCAGCTGCTGCACACGCAGATATCATCGGTTGCCCGGCAACTGTCACACTTCTCCCGCCCTCTTGTTACCTGTTTGCTGATGGATCTCCTGCCTTGGGGCATCACTGGTCACATGACTCCGCACCTGGTTGTGAACCGTATCATTGGGGATGGGGGGGGGCGTCATGAATTACATTAGCAGCAGGAGACAGATGGGATGCAAAACAAAATCCAGGTGATTCCACAGAGACATTGCAGGGCATCTCTATAGCAACAGCTGATTTAGAGGATTTTGGTAACCCATAGCAACACAATTTTTTTTTTCCCCCCCACCCATCTGACTGCTGTACATTGCAAGACTGTGTCCATAATGAGGGGCTCCCATCATCCCTGAGCTGAGTTTCGGGGTCTGTAGACCTGCTCTGCCCATTATGAGGTGCTCCCACCATCCCTGTGCTGAGTTCCCGGGTCTGTACACCCGCTGTGCCCATTATGAGGAGCTCCCACCATCCCTGTGCTGAGTTCCCGGGTCTGTACACCTGCTGTGCCCAATATGAGGGGTTCCCACCATCCCTGTGCTGAGTTCCCGGGTCTGTACTTCTGCTGTGTCCATTATGAGGAGCTCCCACCATCCCTGAGCTGAGCTTCCAGGTCTGTACAGCAGCTGCATCAAAACTGAAGGGGAGGTCGTTGTGAGTCATTCCTTTCTCTGAACGTCGCCTTCACTTTCTCTTTCAGTGATCGGTCGGCGTTGCAGTCGTAATCTTGAAACTGGAACATGATCTTGCCTCCTCCTTGTGGGATTCCAGTGAACTTCTCTCTCCTTGTAGATTATTGTGTACAGAGGTCTCGGAGTCACTCTGGAAGGATCACAATATACATTCCTCTGTAACCGAATTCGGGTTTTTATTTTGGGTTGCCATGGGGATGACAATCTTCATGATATGGCCCTCTCTGTGTGAAGGTTGAGGAGCACCTCGCTTGGTCGTGACCCACTGTGCTGGACCTATGGACACGGGTTTACAAGATGCTTATGGTCCTGATGGATGTGCATGTGACGGCTTGGTCTCGCTGATATGTGTACACCTATCAGAACCAAGAGCGTCTTCTAAACCCGGGTCCATACGTCCAGCACAGTGGGCCACATCAACCATATATTCATGAACTAGGGGTGGGCAAATTAATATGGCAATCGGGAGCCAGTCTTTCCAATCCAGGAGCCAGCTCCATTGACATCAACTAGCGGAAACCTTAAAAGTTGGGCGCCAGCTGTCATTTTTAAGGAGAATTGGCAACCTGGCTCCTGGGATTTGTCTAACCTCTGGCATGAAGGCTTCCGCCATGTCCAGCAACTATGCTTCCGGGCGGCTGGGTACCATATACCATCCATATAGTGGTTTGTAGTTGGTTTTTAGCGATGGGGCATTTTGTAAGCAGGATTTGGTGGTATCCTAGACCTGAGACCATTGGTCGGCATCTAAAGGGACTTCAGCTTCCACCTCCAATTTATGTCTGTATTTGTGGTTTGGAGACCTGGACCCAATGAGGAGGGAGCTGTATAGCATGGACATCAGGCCCTCAGAGAGGGATCTAACCACAAGGCCTGTGTGTGGACCCATCTCGGGAACCGATGGACAATTGGAATAAAATTGGTGTGTGAGGACATCAGTCAACAATGTTTTAAGGTGTGGCGGTATTGGGTGGAAGGGGTTGGTATCTGTACTGAAGACCATTGTCTGGAGGTATTGGGTGGAAGGGGTTGGTATCTGTACTGAAGACCCTTGTGTGGAGGTATTGGGTGGAAGGGGTTGGTATCTGTACTGAAGACCATTGTGTGGAGGTATTGGGTGGAAGGGGTCGGTATCTGTACTGAAGACCATTGTCTGGAGGTATTGGGGGGGAAGGGGTCGGTATCTGTACTGAAGACCATTGGGTGGAATGGGTTGGTATCTGTACTGAAGACCATTGTCTGGAGGTATTGGGGGGAATGGGTCGGTATCTGTACTGAAGACCATTGTGTGGAGGTATTGGGGGGAAGGGGTCGGTATCTGTACTGAAGAGCATCCGTCATGTCCATTGTGCACATAGCTCAGTCTCATGTTCGTGTCTCCAGCAGGCGGACCTCTTCATGTAATGTGTCTCCATGACGTAGGAGGGATAAGGCCTGGTGAAGCCAGTAATTGTCCTCTCCAGGATGTGTTTGATCCCGGGCTTACCTGGATTTTGTGTTTCCAGGAACCCTTCTTTGGGTTGCTGCCAACTCACTGCCCCCTCCCTCACTCTACACTATGTGAGTCACCACCCTGGGGGAGGTTCCACCATCCCCACCTCTCCCCTCGGGGGGGCTGAATGGGAGACCCTAATGCCCTTGGCTTGCTTTGGAGTCTGACCCAATGTTGTGGTGGATTCCAAAAGCTCCGGAACTTCAACCCTTCACCATTCAAAGAAAAGAAATGGCTCTGGTATGGCTGGTCATGGGAAACGTGGCTCCCCTCCGGAGGGTACCAAGAATGTCACCTAAAAATCCAACAAAAGCGCCAAACCAAATGGTGGAGACCACTTTTAAAGATCACATACAACAGCCAACGGGTTTCGGGGGATTAGCCACTCTCCCTTTGTCACCCTGAGATAGGACTAGAAACCCTTACGTTACTGAGGCCTGGAGGAAGTAATCTGTAGTCCTGTCCTAGGATGACAACGTTGCTACTCTATAGATGCAGTACATTGAGCGTTGTCACCCTAGAACAGGAAATGTATTACCGGTAGGATCACCAGGTGAAAATAAAGCCTGAAAAAGGAAAACGAATGCAGCCACCACATCTGAGGACTGAAGATGTAATATGACATTTTTGTTCCTGGGTTTAGATAGTTTATTGATGAACCTAAGGTATGTTAAATCCATAGGGGTTCATTTACAAAAGATTCACACGGCACTAGCGTCACTAGAGGGAGCTGATGAGCATTGGAATTTTCTTATACTTGTCAGCACCATCTTTTTATTTTTTGAAAGTCAAAAAAGTTACTGACGCGTTTTGGGGGTCTCCACACCCCCCTTCCTCAGGGCTTATGATGTTTAGGTAGCTGCAATAAACGATTATTCTCACAGATGGCAATCTGTGTAATCAAAAGCTTTCTACTGATTGGCTGCAATGATCTATAGCCACCTTCTCCCCGTCCTCCATATTGAACCAGTTGGCCTCCCTGGCATAGATGGTGGCCCTCAACTTCCTGTAACCAAACCTGTCCGGCCACAGAAATCGCAGCCCTGCCCCATGTCTTACGAGGTGGTAAAAGTCAGATAAGAAAGCCAGACTGAAATCTTTTGTTATATTCGTGTTTGCTCATAACAAAGCAACAGAGCATCTAACGCGTTTTGACACTCCCCGTTCATCCGGGCTTGGTTATTTGGCGAGCTTGAAACCAGGACTGGGGTTGGGTGGATCAATAAAATGGCTGTATGCGGTTGATTATGACAGAAGATCATTCTGATAATCTGCTGTCAATCTGCCATGAAACCTCTATTTTCGAGCTCATGGAATGCTTTGAGCCCTGACAAAGGGGGAGTGTCACTTGTCGAAACGCGTTGGTGTTCTACTCTGGTTATGAGTAAATTCTAATATTAATAGGTTTGGACTTCTTCTAGATCTTTGGCCTGACATTCTCATTAGACTTTGACACGTGGCTCTTAAACTTCGGGTCCCCTAGATGAGGGGCCCCCCTGTTTTGTTGACACACGGGAGCTCCTGCACTCCATATGAACTCCTCTGACCTTCTTCAGCCAATCGGAACCCAGGGCCTCCGATATCCGTGTTCTTACCATGTTCCGTCTCTCGTTTCAGGAATACATCTGCCCGCGATGTGACTCTGGTTTCATCGAGGAGGTGACAGAAGACTCCAGGTAGGTGCCCCTCACCCCCTGGGGGGCATATATATACGCGTTCCAAGATGGTATAGAAGCAATCAGATGTAAAGGTTCTTCTTGTGTGTTGGGATACATGTTTGTAGGTCACGGGGCTTCTGGCGTAATAGGGCTGACGGTCATGTGACCATTCAGGGGCCCCTTTTCTGACACCATCTACTGGGGGGGTTAGCAAGTGTGAGATGTGTTGTGGCCCCGACATTGCATGCTCTATATAGGCAATCCTCGCTCTATGAGTCAGCACCATGCAGACTCTGAAGCTGGCTTCACCTTTGGGGCTATACCAGGGGTGGGCATCTCCGGCCCTCCAGCTGTGCTGCAACTACAACTCCCAACATGCCGCTGGGAGTCATCCCTGGGCCAGCGGGGGGCGCCGACAGCAATAAAAATCTGACTGGGGTCTACGTTGTGAGTTTTACTTTAGATACAACAGAAGAGCAATTGAACTTTTAGGTTTGGACCCGCTGAATACGTTCCCGGGCCCATCGCAAGCAAAAGATGAGCAAAGTCTTCAAGTTAATGTTCTTTAGAAAGCAGCCACAGCCCGGGTAGAAAAGCCTGCAGCCCGCCAGCATGCAGCAGGACACTTGGTCTCCCTGTGGAAGCAGTGGTTTCCCTCCAGAGGTCTGGCATGCCTCCTTTGAGTCAGAGCTTGAGCTCAAGGGTTAAGTTTTATTCTGCTCAGGGTTCTTCTTTAATCGGTGTGTTCCTGGAAAGCATGCTGTGTCAGACCTCTGCAGAGAGACCGCTGCTTCCACACACAGAGTATATAGGTCCTTCTATGCAGCGTGCTGGCAGGGGACAGGCTTCTCGACTCCGGCTGTGGCTGCTTTCTACAGATGTACTGGGAGACTTTGCACCTCCTTTTGTTTTTATTGTCCTTCACCTGGAAAGTGTTCAGATGATTTATGGGAAGTTCAGTGGAGGTTGAAGCGCAGCGTTCTGATTTCCAGGAAAGCATGGATGAGTTCTTGTATGGTTGTGGCGTGTGTGTGTCATAGGAGGGTCTGGGAGTTTCTGTCAGTTGTCGGTGGAAAACCCCTGAGACTGTTTATACTCCTCGTCTGACCATGTGTCCGCTTTCACTTTCACCTGTACACGGGATACACATGTCTGCTCTGGATGTATTACCTGTGTACAGTACCCGGGAGGAGGGGGCTGGGGTGTCATGGGTAGTCACATGTGTACAGTACATGGGAGGAGGGAGCTGGGGTGTCATGGGTAGTCACATATACAGTACATGGGAGGAGGGAGCTGGGGTGTCATGGATAGTCACATGTACAGTACCCGGGAGGAAGAGGAGGCTGGGGGGTCATGGGTAGTCACATATACAGTACATGGGAGGAGGGAGCTGGGGTGTCATGGATAGTCACATGTACAGTACCCGGGAGGAAGAGGAGGCTGGGGGGTCATGGGTAGTCACATATACAGTACATGGGAGGAGGGAGCTGGGGTGTCATGGATAGTCACATGTACAGTACCCGGGAGGAAGAGGAGGCTGGGGGGTCATGGGTAGTCACATATACAGTACATGGGAGGAGGGAGCTGGGGTGTCATGGATAGTCACATGTACAGTACCCGGGAGGAAGAGGAGGCTGGGGGGTCATGGGTAGTCACATATACAGTACATGGGAGGAGGGAGCTGGGGTGTCATGGATAGTCACATGTACAGTACCCGGGAGGAAGAGGAGGCTGGGGGGTCATGGATAGTCATGTGGACAGTACACAGGAGGCGGGAGCTGCGGTGTCATGGGTAGTCACATATACAGTACATGGGAGGAGGGAGCTGGGGTGTCATGGGTAGTCACATGTGTACAGTACATGGGAGGAGGAGGCTGGGGTGTCATGGGTAGTCACATGTGTACATTCCCCAGGAAGAGGAGGCTGGGGTGTCATGGGTAGTCATGTGTACAGTACATGGGAGGAGGAGGCTGCGGTGTCATGGGTAGTCACATATACAGTACATGGGAGGAGGGAGCTGGGGTGTCATGGGTAGTCGCATGTGTACAGTCCCCGTGAGGAGGGGGCTGGAGTGTCATGGGTAGTCGCATGTGTACAGTCCCCGTGAGGAGGGGGCTGGAGTGTCATGGGTAGTCACATGTGTACAGTCCCTGTGAGGAGGGAGGGGGTTATGTTGTCACATGTGTGTGTCATGGGTCAGCGGAGTTCAGTGGCGCTGCAGATATGTGACACGGATGATTGTCTGATCTTTGCTCTGGGCGGAGTTTAACCCTCGTCATGTTTTTCTCTGCCAGTTTTCTAGATTCCGGGGGAAGCACAATAGACGACAATGGCTCCACACATTTCGCTGAGGTAAGAGCGCGTCTCGGCGCCGGATGTGACAGCGCGCAGCGTGCGATCAGCGCTCCTCCACAGATTACAATCATTGCAACCATTCTGACATCACAGCACCCTGCCTCAGTGCTTCTATCAAGAGCCCCCTGCCCTGATGCCATGCAAAGATTAAAATGCATTGATGGGTGGGCATTCCTGGGCAGGCTGTAATTGCATGCAGACCCCCCCCCCCCCGTAACACCCACATGCAATGCTGAGCCTCCGTGATTGAAAGAACTGAAATCCAATGCCTGGAAGGGGCGGGGCCAGGGACAGGCTGGGGAGAAAAGAGCTAGATGGTGCAGGCAGGAGCAGCGCTGGGTTCTCGGTCTTAGTCACCGCCCTGTAACGTTTTCTGCCACAACAAATATTTGCCGATAACCTGCGCTGTGCCGCTGTGCACGCCGGCTGATAAGAGGCTCCTGTTACCTGCAGAGAGCTCGGTGAGCAGATGGCATTCAGGCGCGCTCGGCTCTATGTGATCTGTGAAAAAACAAGGTACAGCTAAGCCGATCCTCCCAGGTGACGTATCACCTGAGCGTTCACATATTGGTGTCTGCTCGTCGTCTGCCATCCGCCCTGTCACTTGACCTTTGGGTTGCCTATCTCATAGACTTGATTACCTGTCCAATGGTTGAATGACGGAGCGCACGAGGCGGGGTGACAACGCTGAGCTCACAAGGCAGGGTGACAACGCTGAGCTCACAAGGCAGAGTGACAACGCTGAGCTCACAAGGCAGAGTGACAACGCTGAGCTCACAAGCAAGGCCGGCTGACAACGCTGAGCTCACAAGGCAGAGTGACAACGCTGAGCTCACAAGCAAGGCCGGCTGACAACGCTGAGCTCACGGGGCCGGGAGAGGACGCCGAGTTTACGGGGCCGGGGTAACTTCCGGTATCAGGAAGCTGGGCAGCGAGTCCTAACATGCTGCCCGGCTTCCTGATTGGCCGTGAAGCCGACTCCATGCTCTCTCGTCACCAGGGAGCATGGAGCTGGTTTCCCGGCCAATCAGGAAGCCGGGGTAATGATTCACCCCCCTGGCATCCTGATTGGTCGGGAAGCCGGCTCCACGCTCCCTCGTCACCTGGTGATGAGGAGCATGGAGCCGCCTTCCCGGCCAATCAGGAAGCCGGGCAGTGTGTAATGCCTCGCTGCCCAGCTTCCTGATTGGTCGGGAGGTTGGCCAATTAGGAAGCTGGGCGGTGAGTCATTACCTGCCCCCCGGCGTCCTGATTGGCCAGAAAGCTGTCTTCATGCTCCCTCGTCAGCTTGTGACAATGGAGCAAGGAGCCAGTTTCCCAGCCAATCAGGAAACCAGGCACCGTGGAATGACTCACTGCCTGGCTTATGATTGGTCGGGAAGATGGCCAATCATAATCATTATCTGCCCCCGGCTTCCTGATTGGCCAGAAAGCCGACTCCATGCTCCCTTGTCACTCAGGAAGCTGGGCAGGGAGTGACACGTCGCCCGGTTTCCTTAATGGGACTTCCGGTATTGGTATTTGGTATCGGCGAGTACGGAAAAAAAAAATATCTGTAATCGCTACCGAAAAAACGTTATCGGTGCATCCCTAATTGAGAGGAAGTGGCTTATTGTTGTCAGCCTCAAACAGGAAGTGCTGTTGCTGGTAAGGAACTCTGCAATAGATTCACAGAATACAGCGAGGTGTGATGCCAAACATACCGAGGAATAGATTTGGGGTTTGTAGGGTATTTTGGATAGAGTAAGGAATTTTTCTTTACTTCCTGTCCTGAAGACGCAACAGCAAATTAGAGAAAATTGCATTTTGTGAGGCATTCCGATTGTAGATGGATGTCACTGGAACAGGTGTCTCCATTGGAGGATTTCCCCTCACCTCTCTTTCCGGTGACAACTCTTTACATTTTTTCCCTCTATGGCTTTAAGTCTCAGTAACAGTGGTCACCAGGACAGATGGTAAGGGAGAATCTTCTCGATGGGGACACAAGCGGTAAACCTGGGAGAGGGTCTAACCCCATTTCTCACTTTTCTTGTTCCTCAGCTTTGGGACCATTTAGACCACACAATGTTCTTTCCCGACTTCAGACATTTCCTGAGCAGCAGCTCGCTGGACCAAGAGGGCCGAGACAGCGAGCGGCGTCACCAATCCCACCCGGACATCAGGGTGACGCGACGGCCCCCAAGGCAGCCCATGACGAGATATCGTTCCCGCGTCAGCTCCCGGCCCGACCGTTCTCCCGCCATTGAAGGGTAAGGGGGGCCAGTTTCATGTTGGGTTAGAAAGAACTTATTCAATATGTGTCACCAGTGAGAATATATTGGGAGGACCCGGACATCTCTGACTCTCTGTCTGACCTCCCAACTAACATGGTGCCGTTTATTTGACAGGCCTGAGGACTTCTGATCTCTCCCACCCACCATGACCTAACCCTTTGACCGATGGGCCAGGAGACTTCTGGAATGTCCCACCCACCATGACCTGACACTTCGACTGATGGGCCAGTAACTCCGGGTCTGTCCCACCCACCATGACCTAACATTTTGACCGACAGGCCAGGAGACTCCTGGCATCTACCCCCTCACCATGACCTGACACTTTGACTGGTGGGCCAAGGACTCCTGGTCTATCCCACCCACCATGACCTGACACTTTGATGGGCAAGGAGACTCCGGGTCTGCCCCACCCACCATGACCTAACACTTTACTGATGGGCCAAGAGACTCCTGGTCTGTACCCACCCACCATGACCTGGCACTTTGACTGATGCGCCACAAGGTTCCTAGTCTGTCCCATCCACCATGGCCTGACACGTTGACTGATGGACCAGGAGACTCCTGGTCTGTCCCACCCACCATGACCTAACACTTTGACTGATGGGCCAGGAGACTCCTGGTCTGTACCAACCCTACCCCCACCATGACCTGACT